TAAGTAGAGCCTTGGTAGTTGAAGAAATGGCTTTGTCACTTGTACAAAAGTTTCCCACAGCCTCATGACAGAAGTTCAAAGCTGCACTCTCCCTCCATTTCTTCTTTCCTCCAAAGGTTTGGACCACTTTTACTCTACTACATTAAAAAACAAATACCATTAGGAGTTCAATTTAGTGATGCACATGCATAGAAACAGAATTACAACCAGAAAGAGACTTCGCTCATATTTCTCGAGACTAATAGGGCAGTAAATTCGCAGCAGAACTGTATCCATATATAAATTCTTCTTCATTAACTAAGTTATATCTATAGATAGGTCAATAAGTTTATACAACAATAGTATTTTTTTTTTTTTTAGAAAAAAGCAATAGTAAAATTTGTAGAAATAGTGGGTAGATGAACAAAACCAGTTGCATTTGATTGACCTCAGGAAAATGCCAAAACATATAATGGCAAAAATCATACAGTGTCCATTTCAGTTTGTACTTTTTAATAATTGATGGAGCTTTCTTTCAAGCTTGGGTGGCCAGCAATGGTTGGATCTTTCCAACATTAATTTGTCAATTACTTACCATCACTTACATTTTTCACATTATTTATTGTATTAATTCTTGAGATGAAGAGTTGCAAATTTTTTGCTTGTCTTAAAAAATCTCTCCAATTTCATGGCCTTAATCAGTTGTCCATTAATTTGATTATTCTCTTTAGAATGTTTTCCATTAGTTAATATTCCCTCCATCCCACAACAATTGTACTATTTTAACAAATAAAGTGTTGTGTAGTTCAATAAAGGATGGGTGAATTTCGTGATGTTGAAAGATGCCTCTCATCCAATAACTTTTATATTGTAATTTGGTATATTTTAAATTACAAAATAAAGAATTTTTTTTAACAATGTACATAAATTAAGAAAATCAAATATTATGGTAATTAATTTATATATTTTTAATTTTTATTAGTTATTACATAAAGAAATAAGATGAATTATTAAAATAAAATTTAACTACAAGATTAAAATGCAATAGAAAAAAAAAAAACAATCTACATTGAAAATGTAAAAGAAACATTTAATTTGAGACAATTTTTTTTTTCATAAATAAGACAGTTATTATGTAAGAAAGTGAGATGAAAACTTAATTAATATCCTACTCTTTAATTATTCTTTATTTTTCTAAGCATTATACTCTATTTGTCTCAAAAAAAATATTTTTTTCCCAAATTAACTATCATGTTTACATTTTCTAAATGTATATTAATGATTTCTTTTTTATTTTAATATTGTAATTAAATAATCCCACTTTATCAATAATATCTTTCTTTTGTCCAGCCCGTGGTGGCCTAGTGGCCACCCACTTGAATGTATGGGTTAGAACAGCATATATTGGGTTCTAACTCATGACTTACTTCTCCTCCCCAAACAATTTCCCAATGTTCAAAATATATATATATATATATCTTTCCTTTTATACTTCTAAAAGAAAATTAAAGGTAAAATAGAAAAGAGCATAAATTATTTATAATAATAATAGTTCCCATTCTGAATTAATTTGTATGTATAGTTAAATAAATTTAAAAAGCTATCTAAAGTCCATCCTACATGAATTGTACCATGAACCTCACAACAAATGAGGTTTCTGTAAGATCAAAAGCTGGCACACTACTTATGAAATAGTGGTATTTATAATTTGTACAGAACAGTATGCAAAATATCATTCTAAAAACAAATTTTGTGAGATGGATCAGCTCACACTAAAAAGAATTATCATCCAAAATTGCTGTAAATTGTGGTTATTCTATTATTGGCCTGACAGGGGAATGCAATTTTCAAAGCAACATGTGTTGACAAACAAACCTATGGGAAAAAGTCTTCCCACATTGAAAATAAAATAGTGAAAAGAAGAAAACTAAAGCAAAAGTCGGGAAAAAGTTGGTCTTATTTTGAAGAGGGTCCACCTCCAAGTTTCCTTTAAACTAGAGTGGAATTACATCAAGACATTCAGAGGGTATATAGTGGTGGTGGAGACTGTAAATTAAATTTTAGCCCTTAATTTGGATTTCTCATGAATCACTATTAATTTCAATGTTTTATTTGTTGTCCTAATCCCTTTGTCTTTTACTTTTAATAGGCCTTGGCCTTACAAAAAGAAATGGAATTAAACTAGTATCACAACTGGCCAATAAGAATTCAGATCTTGTCTGGCAATTTCAGTTCCACACTCAAACTCAAGTTAAAGACTAAAAGCACAGTACCAAACAAATGGAAAGGGCTAAGGAAAAGCTGATTAAGCACCCACAATTTTAATTTATAAATAGAACACACCACCCCTAACCAAACAAAAAAAAAAAAAAA